TTGATTTTCTGGTTACAATGGCACCTGGAAGTGGGGGGGGGGGTAAATTAGGCAGCAAGTGAACATTTTGTCCCTGACGTTGATGAGTTGGAAGCAGAAATAATGGACAAGTGCGAGGATTTGAGGAACTTTGACAAGGACCAAATTGTGATGCCTGGACGACTGGGTCAGGGCAGTGGTCTGTAGTGGTCAGGATCGACCAGAAGTGGTCCAAGGAAAGAAAACCAATGAACCGGTGACAGGGTCATGGGTGGCCTAGGCTCACTGATGTACGTGGAGAGGGAAAGCTGGCCCATGTAGTCGAATCCAATAGAAGAGCTCTTGTAGCTCAAATTGCTGAAAATGTTACCGTTGGTTCCAATCGAAAGGTGTCTGAACACACGGAGCATCGCAGGTTGTTGTGTATGGAGTTGTGTAGCCACAGAGCGGTCAGGGTGCCCATGCTGACCCGTGTCCACTTCCAAAAGAGCCTACAATGGGCACGTGAGCATCAGAACTGAACCACGGAGCAATGGAAGAAGGTGGCCTGGTCTGATGTACATCATGTTTTCTTTAACATCATGTGGATGGGCGGGTGCGTGTGTGTCGCTTACCTGGGGAAGAGATGGCACCAGGATGCACTATGGGAAGAAGACAAGCCGGCGGAGGCAGTGTGTTACTTTGGGCAATGCTCTGCTGGGAAACCTCGGGTCCTGCCATTCATGTGGGTGTCACTTTGACACGTAGCACCGACCTAAACATTGTCACTGACCAAGTACACCCCTTCATGGACACGGTATTCCCTGATGGCAGTGACCTCGTTCAGCAGGATAATGCGCCCTGCCACACTGCAACAATGGTTCAAGAATGGTTTGAGGAACGCAACAATGAGTTTGAGGTGTTGACTTGGCCTCCAAATTCTCCAGATCCCAATCCAATCCATCATCTGTGGGATCTGCTGGAAAAACAAGTCCGATCCATGGAGGCCGATCACCTCACAACTTACAGGACCAAGGCCTTGTTCACACCAAATGCAGAGCAGATCCGGTCAGGTTTCTGCACACGCAGTGCAGTGGGTTGTGCCGCGTTTTTGATGCGTTTTTGCCGCTTTTTGATGCCTTCCGGGCCGTGTTTTTTTTTTAAACATGGGCTTTCAGGCACTTGCATGCGTTTTTGCGTTTTGATGCGTTTTTGATGCGTTCCAGAGCAGGTAAAATAGGGCTTGCCGCAGTTTTTTCACCTGCTCTGGATCTGCTCTGGATCTGCACGCTGCAATGTGAACTGGAGCTCAAAATACCATAGGAATACATTGGACGCAGTTTTGATCCAGTCTGTACCTGCTCTGCTCCGCGCTTGGTGTAAAAACGCATCAAAAACGCATGCAAGTGCCTGAAAGCACATGTTAAACTTTAAAAAAAACTATTTTTTTTTTTAACCAAAAACGGCCCGGAACGCAGCAAAAGCGCGGCACAACCCACTGCACTGCGTCACTGAGTCACTGAGCTGGGAACACCGAGTATGCGCGCTCCTATCCTAGCACTGACCAATGGATGCATATATGTGGCAGCTTGGCGGTAAAGCCCAGTTTCATTGTGACGCATAAATATATGTGAGGCCAGCATCAAGAGGTTTTATTAAGTCCTTACACGGCATCATTACACGGCACCCGGCTTCCTGATTGGCCAGCTTCCCGACCAATCAGGAAACCGGGCAGCGCGTCATTACACGCTGCCCAGCTTCCTGATTGGCCGTGAAGTTGGCTCCATGCTCTCTCGTCACAAGTGACGAGAGGGCATGGAGCCGGCTTCCCGCCCAATCAGGAAGCCGGGCAGCGTTTAATGACGCGTTGCCCGGTTTCCTGATACAGGAAGTATCGGGCTAGGTATCGGGGCATTTGGGGGAGTACGAGTACTTGCCCAAATACTCGGTATCGGCACCGATATCGATACTAGTATCGGTGCATCCCTAATACATACCAATCTGTCTAGGCAAGCCCACTGCATCAGCCGATGTCCACCCATCAAGGCATTTGAAGTTTATTTAATAAATGTCATCATTATCGTGCTGATGAGGGGGAAGGGAGGAACCAGGGAAGGCAGATTCAACTTCAGCTGTAAGTGCTTTCTAATTAAGGCATTCTGGCATTTAATTCATTGATTATCTGAGACCTCAGCCATTTAATTAGTCAAGACTTTGTTAGCATGGATGGGGGGAATCAAGTGTTTTTTGAGAGATGTATGGCCAGCTTTGCACACTCTGTTTATCCTTTCACCATTTAAAGAGGGCCTCCTGGAATAGAAAATGTCATCCTTTGCAGTGGGGCTATCCCTGCGCTGTATCCTAGTGTAGGTTAGAAGTGACATTGGACCTGCGAGGGCCATGGGGTACCTCCTACCTGCTGTTGCAGTCCCTCTGTAACCCTGGTGTAGGCTGGCAGTGATATTGCACCTGTGAGGGCCATGGGGTACCTCCTGGCTGCTGGTGCAGGCCCTCTGTAACCCTGGTGTAGGCTGGCAGTGATATTGCACCTGTGAGGGCCATGGGGTACCTCCTGGCTGCTGGTGCAGGCCCTCTGTAACCCTGGTGTAGGCTGGCAGTGATATTGCACCTGTGAGGGCCATGGGGTACCTCCTGGCTGCTGGTGCAGGCCCTCTGTAACCCTGGTGTAGGCTGGCAGTGATATTGCACCTGTGAGGGCCATGGGGTACCTCCTGGCTGCTGGTGCAGGCCCTCTGTAACCCTGGTGTAGGCTGGCAGTCATATTGGACCTGTGAGGGCCATGGGGTACCTCCTAACTGCTGGTGCAGGCCCCCTGTAACCCTGGTGTAGGCTGGGAGTGATATTGGACCTGCGAGGGCCATGGGGTACCAACTGGCTGCTGGGGCAGGCCCCCTGTAACCATGGTGTGGGATGGGAGTTACAGTATATTGGACCTGCGAGGGCCATGTGGTAAATCCTGGCTGCTGGTGCCGGCCCCCTGTAACCCTGGAGTAGGCGGGGAGTGATATTGGTCTTCATTGGGCCATGGGGAACCTTAACCCACCACAAACTATGTATTATGTTACTGTTAGGATGCAGACCGCCTCCAGGTGGCGCTGGAGCTAAGTCCTGCAGTTTCCGTACTCACCTGCAGAGGTCTCCAGGCAGCCAGGAACTGCTTCCTGTAACCTGCTTCTGTTCCCGAGTCCTGTATCCTGTGTATGTTCCCTGCTTGTTGTCCAGAACCGTGACCTGCTTATGTTCCTGAGTCCTGTTAGCTCCTTGTACCCTGACCTTTTGTCCCTTAGTTCCCCTGGTGTTTTGCTTTGCTGCCTTGGGTGTGCTTGCCTGTTACTTCTTGCATGTGGTGTGGTTTAGATGTAGTTGGTTGCTAATACTTGTTCTGTTTTATATTCTTCTGGTTGGCATATTAAAACGGTATATCATACATTTTGCCTTGTCCTGCGTAGTCACACGTGTTTGATCTGCCTGTGTGGGTACCTGCGCAGGTGTGGGGTCACCTGTGTCGGTATTCCTGACAGTTAAATTTTTTGATAAAGAATTACAGTTTCATTGGGCAAATTTTTGGCCCGGCATTTTTCATGTCATCTTTCTCTTTCTAGATTCCGATTCTGGGTACCCGGGTTAGGCCTCACCAGGGCCATCATGCTATTGGAGGGAGAGGGGGCTGCTATGGTTCCTCTGATTTCCTTTCAGGGCAGGAAGTGATCTCTCCAAAAGGGAACCCGACTAAGACACATTTTTAGTATAGTGAGGAGAGGTTAGAACACCTGATAATGTACAGCCACTTTGTACAGCGCTACAGAAGATGTTGGAGCTACACAAATCCTATATGGTGTGACAATGGTGGATTATTTTTGTTTCCTGCAGAAGACACAAGACATGAGAAGTCGCTCTCCCCAGTTGTCGTGGAGGAATATCTAGATCTGGTAAGGAGAAGCTGCTTTGCTCTGTGACAGTTCACTGTACCTATTAAAGTGTAGCTCTGGGCAAAAAGCAAAAAAATGACGTATACGGTAGAACGACTGATGGGTTATACTGCCACTTGCAGGAAAAAGAAAGTCTAAGAACTGTGGTGGAAATTGATCATCGATTAACTTTTTTTAAAAGTGGAACTAAAATCCTCAAATGCTCACTTCTACTCCAGCAATGCAAGTTTGGTGAGGCCCCTTGTGGGTCCCGACTTTTCCTCCCTGGCTTCAGGTGTCATTAGTCCCTACCCCCGACCCCCCCTTCCTCCCGAAGACTGCGTTGTGTAACCCACTTGGGGCTGCACATCCTTTTGTTTTCAAAAGCATTCCCACTGGGTCCTCCTTTTCCTGCGCATTTATGCTGTGGCCCTGTTCATGTCTATGGGAAGCCTTACTCATGGTGGCTTCAGCTGCTCTAAGGAGTTGGCTTCTCCAAGGGAATAAATGGAGCCACCAAATGCATGTACAGCATAAAGAACACTCAGTGGGGATGATTTGGGACAAAAGACTGCAGGGTGGGCCACACAGTTGCTGGAATGGGGCCAGAGGGAGGTATCAGATTAGGTGGGCATGCCTGAAAGACTGTATTTGGGTAAAATTAAACTTCCCTTGCAGTGGGGCCACCCCTTCACTGCAAGGGTTACCTGCTCATTAGGTGTATTGTGCAAAGGACTATACTTACCTGATCCCCGCTCCCCTGTCGATCGTGGCCTGTCTATGGTGGTCTCGCCTTTACACTGTGGCTCATGGCCTGTCCCTCTGTGTCCTCTCATATGGGCTCTGCATTATAGATTATAGTTTTAGTGGACCTCCGACCACCTGAGCATAGGGGAAAAGAGGGCTGCGGGCGCAGGTTCTGGACCCAGCAGGAGTGGAGATCAGGTAAGTAAAAGTCCTTTACACAGTTCCCCTATATGGGCAGTCAACCCTTGCAGAGCGGGGATCAGGTAAGAACAAGTCCTCTTCACAATGCCCCAACGAGCAGTCAACCCTTGCAGAGCGGGGATCAGGTAAGTACAAGTCCTCTTCACAATGCCCCAACGAGCAGTCAACCCTTGCCAGGCGGGGATCAGGTAAGAACAAGTCGTTATCACAATATCTGTAATGAGCAGTCAACCCTTGCCGAGCGGGGATCAGGTAAGAACAAGTCGTTATCACAATATCTGTAACGAGCAGTCAACCCTTGCCGAGCGGGGATCAGGTAAGAACAAGTCGTTATCACAATATCTGTAACGAGCAGTCAACCCTTGCCGGGCGGGGATCAGGTAAGAACAAGTCGTTATCACAATATCTGTAACGAGCAGTCAACCCTTGCCGAGCGGGGATCAGGTAAGAACAAGTCGTTATCACAATATCTGTAACGAGCAGTCAACCCTTGCAGAGCGGGGATCAGGTAAGAACAAGTTGTTATCACAATATCTGTAATGAGTAGTCAACCCTTGCAGCGCGGGGATCAGGTAAGTACCCACTGCAAGGACAACTTGTATCAGAGGTGCGGTCCTCCTTTAATGCTGCACCCTGTACATATATAATTACAAATTATATCCAGACAGAAGGTTTCTATGACATCGTCCTACACTTAAACAGTATAAGATTGGTTACAAGCAGATAAAAGGTTTCCGTTTGAACCGGACACCCCCCTTTATTGTCCAGAAATCCCTCAAATTACAGCATCCCCCTATGTGGAGAGCGGAGCATTATTCTTAACGTATTGTCCTGTAGTGCTAATCTGTGTATATATATGACTATAAATGTTCCCCGCGCAGTCAGAGGCAGCAAATTCATCATCTGGTTGTATAATAGAGCAAGGAACATTCTCTCATAATACAGACAGCCGAGCAGAATATTCCGCCGGGAGAGAGGGAGTGCTGTAGTAAGCATTTGTCAGGACAAGCACAGACAGCACGAGGCGTAAAAATAAGAAAATCACCCAATTCCCTCAGACGTCAACAATCACTGCAAAGATACTGAGGGGAGAGAGAGAGAGAGACACGGACAAATGGATAGATGCATAAAATATATATAGATAGATATAGAAGAGAGAGATAATGATAGATAGATAGATAGATAGACAAGAGATAGATAGATAGATAGATAGATAGGATGGACGGATAGACAGATTAGATAGACAAGAGATAGATAGATAGATAGATGGATAGACAAGAGATGGATAGACAGACAGATAGATAGAATGGACGGACGGATAGACAGATTAGATAGACAAGAGATGGATAGATAGATAGATAGATACACAAGAGATGGATAGATAGATAGATAGATAGATCGATGGATAGACAAGAGATAGATAGACAGATTAGATAGACAAGAGATGGATAGATAGATAGATAGATAGACAGATTAGATAGAATGGACGGATAGACAGATTAGATAAACAAGAGATGGATGGTTAGATAGATAGATAGATAGATAGATAGATACACAAGAGATGGATAGATAGATAGATCGATGGATAGACAAGAGATAGATAGACAAGAGATGGATAGATAGATAGATAGATAGATAGATAGAATGGACGGATAGACAGATTAGATAGACAAGAGATGGATGGATAAATAGATAGACAAGAGATGGATAGATAGATAGATAGATAGAATGGACGGATAGACAGATTAGATAGACAAGAGATGGATAGATGAATAGATAGATAGACAAGAGATGGATGGATAGATAGACAAGAGATGGACGGATAGACAGATTAGATAGACAAGAGATGGACGTTCGGTACAGAACAGATGTTGGCAACATGAAATCATTAGTCTGCAAATGCTCTCGCCTGGAGGCACGAGAGACAATTGTACACAGCGAATCTCCCATCAGCCCCCTCTGTGCGCCGATCATATCTCCGTATAATCTCCCTCGCTCTGCCTGTAGCCGCACACAGACCTCTCATCACTCGGCACAATCCCGTGGTGGGCTTTTCACAATCACTTCTCCCGTATTGTCTTCTATCACAGTAACACTTCATTATCACTGCCATGGAAGATGACTCCGTATGATTCCTTCTATGTTCATAGACCACACCGATACTGAGGACTTCTTCCATGACCCTGAGCCAGAAGATAGAGATGGGCATTCATTCTCCACCACCAAATCAGAGAGTTCCGGGGTCACTGAGGACCGCTTCCACAGGCTGTAGGGAGATAATGACCACATGTTGTCACTGCATCCTGAGGAAGGGTTACTCAGAGGCCCCGAAATGTTCCAATTTGGTGGTGGCGAATTAATGTCTTGTTTTGATCTTCTACCATGGTGTGCTGGTGATATCCTATCTCTTGAGCTTATGACACACCACCATCCGAACTTTCCAACACAATTGTATCTTTCTTGTATTTTCCAGAAACCCAACCTGAAGCAAAGGATTGTCCTGAGCGACCTGTCATCCGAAGCCTGGACACCAGAGGTCGATGACGCACTGGAGCGCTTTGCATCGGACGTCAGCCAGGAGACAATGTCTGTGTACCTCGACCCTCAGAGTGGGCTTCAGGCCGGGCCCAGCATGCCAGCACAAGTGCGTAACGTTTGGATCACGTACTGCATTCCCCTAGGATGTAGAGTACTCCTTCAATATTCCCCTAGCGTGCAGGGTCCTCCTTGAATATTCCACTAGAATACAGGGTCCTCTTTGAAGATTGCCCTAGGATGCAGTGTCCTCATTGAAGTTCCCCCTAGGATGCAAGCTCCTCCTTGAAGATCCTCCTAGGATGCAGGCTCCTCCTTGAAGATTCCCCTAGGATGCAGGCTCCGCCTTGAAGATTCCTCTAGGATGCAGGCTCCTCCTTGATAATTCCCCTAGGATGCAGGGTCCTCCTTGATAATTCCCCTAGGATGCAGGGTCCTCCTTGAAGATCCCCCTAGGATGCAGGGTCCTCGAAGATCCCCCTAGGATGCAGGGTCCTCCTTGAAGATTCCCCTAGGATGCAGGGTCCTCCTTGAAGATTCCCCTAAGATGTAGGGTCCTCCTTGAAGATCCCCCTAGGATGCAGGCTCCTCCTTGAAGATCCCCCTAGGATGCAGGCTCTTCCTTGAAGATTCCTCTAGGATGCAGGCTCCGCCTTGAAGATTCCCCTAGGATGCAGGCTCCGCCTTGAAGATCCCCCTTGGATGCAGGGTCCTCCTTGAAGATCCCCCTAGGATGCAGGGTCCTCCTTGAAGATTCCCCTAGGATGCAGGGTCCTCCTTGAAGATTGCCTTAGGATGCAGGGTCCTCCTTGAAGATTGCCTTAGGATGCAGGGTCCTCCTTGAAGACTCCCTTAGGATGCAGGGTCCTCCTTGAAGATTCCCCTAAGATGTAGGGTCCTGCTTAAAGATCCCCTAGGATGCAGGCTCCTCCTTGAAGATTCCCCTAGGATGCAGGCTCCTCCTTGAAGATTCCCCTAGGATGCAGGCTCCTCCTTGAAGATTCCCCTAGGATGCAGGGTCCTCCTTGATAATTCCCCTAGGATGCAGGCTCCTCCTTGAAGATCCTCTTTGGATGCAGCCACCTCCTTGAAGATCCCCTTCGGATGCAGGCTCCTCCTTGAAGATCCCCTTCGGATGCAGGCTCCTCTTTGAAGATTCCCCTAGGATGCAGGCTCCTCCTTGATAATTCCCTTAGAATGCAGGCTCCTCCTTGAAGATCCCCTTTGGATGCAGGCTCCTCTTTGAATATCCCCCTAGGATGCAGGGTCCTTCTTGAAGATTCCCCTAGGATGCAGGGTCCTTCTTGAAGATTCCCTTAGGATGCAGGGTCCTCCTTGAAGATCCCCTTTGGATGCAGGCTCCTCCTTGAAGATCCCCTTCGGATGCAGGCTCCTCTTTGAAGATTCCCCTAGGATGCAGGCTCCTCCTTGATAATTCCCTTAGAATGCAGGCTCCTCCTTGAAGATCCCCTTTGGATGCAGGCTCCTCTTTGAATATCCCCCTAGGATGCAGGGTCCTCTTTGAAGATTCCCCTAGGATGCAGGGTCCTTCTTGAAGATTCCCTTAGGATGCAGGCTCCTCCTTGAAGATTCCCCTAAGATGTAGGGTCCTTCTTGAAGATTCCCCTAGGATGCAGGGTCCTTCTTGAAGATTCCCTTAGGATGCAGGCTCCTCCTTGAAGATTCCCCTAAGATGTAGGGTCCTTCTTGAAGATTCCCCTAGGATGCAGGGTCCTTCTTGAAGATTCCCTTAGGATGCAGGCTCCTCCTTGAAGATTCCCCTAAGATGTAGGGTCCTTCTTGAAGATTCCCCTAGGATGCAGGGTCCTTCTTGAAGATTCCCTTAGGATGCAGGCTCCTCCTTGAAGATTCCCCTAAGATGTAGGGTCCTTCTTGAAGATTCCCCTAGGATGCAGGGTCCTTCTTGAAGATTCCCTTAGGATGCAGGCTCCTCCTTGAAGATTCCTAGAACAATTGTTACTGTTGGGTTAGCCCAATAGAGGGTGAAATGGTTCAGAGGGAGGAGCTCAGGCGGGTGATGTGACCTGATATATACAGCCACTATAGACATTTTTACCACTTGTTTTCCAATGAAGGGGAGGAGCATTCATCAACATGTGTCCCTTAGGTAAAACCCCATTCAAGGTTGTGGAAAACCTAAAAAATACCTAGTGGCAGTTAAAGCCAAGCTGACCCTGCAGTATAAATCACCCGAATACAGGTGCATCTAAACAAAAGCTGTTCAATGTCTAATGGTCAATTTTCTTTCTAAAGCAGCCACAGCCTAAGTAAGTAAGCCTACCTCCTGCCAGCATGCTGTAGAGTGGAGCCCTTGCTCTGTGGGGAAGCAGTGGTCTCCTTGCAGAGGTCTAACACACCTCCTGCTGAGTTACAGGCAGAGCTTTCCAATCAGCAGGGAGCAGCTGCAAAGCTACAATTCTGAATCAGCAGGCGGTGTGTTGAACCTCTACAGAGAGACCACTGCTTCCACAACCAGAGCAAGGGTTCCACTGTGCAGCTGCTGGCAGGGAATATGCTTTTCTACTCCAGCTGTGTCTGCTTTGGAATGAAAATGAACTGTGTGACATTGAACACTTTTTATTTTGATGCCCCTGTATTCATCATCTACATAGAAAGTTCAATTGGGCTTTAAAAATTAAATGGCTGCTACATGTTCTCAACACTGGAGCTGTCTCCTGCAACCACACCCATGCAGCACCACATCATTATACAACGTTGCTTTCTGCAGCATTTGGATCCGCCAAACCCCTGGGGCAAGAAGGGGGTACAGAGGTCATGTGACATCACCAGGCCAAGGATATCTGACAAGTATAAAGAAACAAAGGATCGGGGGGATGCACCAGTG